TGCACTTTGGTGTTTTCACCTTTGATCAAGCTTCATCCTTTAACTTAGTTGGCCTGCTGTAAAGTCGGCTTTATCCCGCTGTCAACTTTTTTCCGCTAATAAACCTACATTGACACCACCCTCATTTGTGTCATAAGCACCAGTGTGAAGAGTCATGGAGAGGTGACGCGGTGAGTTATATGTTTAAAATGACCATATTTAAAGCCTTACGTTGCAAAATTGATATTTTGTCTCTACCCTACTGAAAAGAAATGAGTGCTGTGGCTGATGGGATTGTCATCATCAGTCTTGTAAACACTGGTGAAATAATAAAAAGTACTAGACAACACTTTTCACCTGATGATTCTGCTGGATGGTCACTATTTTCTTACACAACAATAATAATATACAGTATATATGAAGCTACGTAATCTGCTCAGTATCAGATGTTCAAAGTTAAAACAGCTCAGGCAGGCTGGATGTAATTTCCTGTACAGGGACACATGACCATGACACTATACAAGAAGGTGCCAGTGGACAAACTGTACTTTCAGGAATACTTTCTATGGAAATTAAAGCAGTAAAACAAAGACAGGGGAGAGAGGAAAGATTGAAGAAACTTGGTCCAGTGTAATCTACTGCCTGTCCCAGTTTGGTGCTCAGGGGGAGACTTCTTTAAACAGAATTAATCCATGTAGGTCAGGGAGTGAAGAATATTAATCAACTATATAAGTAGAGTTAGAGGCTTGCCCTGGTGGACCAGAGAGAATCCAGCTCTGCTGCACCAAAATCAGACTCACTTTTCTTACCCCTAACAAGAGTAACATAGAAATGAAAGTGAAAAAATTATAAAAAATATCGTATGTCGCAAAACATGTAACAAACAGATTCTAACAATGCAGGTCATACATTTCAAATCTTGGTTGTTTGTAGAAATAATAGAGGCTTGCAGATGTTTTTAAATTGAAATAATATCGTGCATCCGATTCCATAGCAAAGATTAACTCATCCTTCATTAGATCCTTTTCATCTGAATCACAATGCTTGAAAATTATTTCTTCCAATTCAAGTTAAAGCATCCTTGAGCATCATGGAGATTTGCCTAAAGAGACTGCATCTACCCATCTAATAAAGAAGAAAGTATAAACAAGGTTTTTAAAAGGCAAGTGAACAAAGGATGAGTTTCTGTGTTGGCAGGGGATATGCCAAAATCTCACAATAAATAACTTCTAGAAATGTGAAAAAAATAGTCTTTAGGTTCTTCCCTGACTTTCTATAAATTTACTCTTGGCCAAACCCCTCCTTTCAGTAGCTGTTCCCGATTCCTTATTCGGCGTTCTTTAACGTAACAGCCGGTGTTTCCATGGAAACGATAAACATTTCGTGTCTGTCATGGAGGCTCTGTCATGGAGGCTGCCACAACAAGACGACATGTCCTGATACAACTACACAATCATGGATTTCTCTTGCTTCGATTACTGTTGGAATATTTAAGGTAATGTAAGTACAAATACACAATATAACATAGTTCAGTCACCTTTAAGCTCTTTGCGATGGAAAACTGACAATTCAGATGGACTCTCATCATTTTAACACTTTGAGTGGAAGAAGTCACACAAACACAGAGTCAAGAGAGTAGACCCCCCCCACCCCCGTCCAGCTGTTGACAAGGTGGCTGCTTATGTGTACTACCTTAATATACTCTACTTGTGTTTGATGTTGACCTTTTTCTCACATGCATGACCTCATTGTCCAGCTTAACAATGACAAATCTAACAGAAGCCAACTATTATTTTAAAAGCACAATATCTGTTAAGTGTTTGTTAAAGGACACGCAAAAGGAGGAATTGATTCCGCCAAGTTTATCACCCAGCGGCAGGCAATGACATGGCAAGAGGCAACATGGAGGTCAACAACAGGGATTACAGGGTCAGTGAGAGTTCAACTGGCTGGCAGGAGGATGGAAAAAATGTTCAGGAAAACACTGAAAGCTAGAAAGGATAAAAGATTTTTTCTTAATGTGCAATAGGGTGCAGAACGATCGGATCTGACCTGTGGCTCTTTTCCCGCATGTCGTTCCCCACTCTCTATCCCTGATTTCCAACTCTATCCACTGAACTATCTCTAAAATAAAGGCACAAAACGCCCACAAATAAATCTTCAAAAAAAAAAAAAGGAAAAAAGGAATGCCCGCCCCTGAAATCTCCCTGAGAGGTTTTTCACGCATGTCCTTGACAGCAGGAGAATTTCCCTCTCAGATGGGAGCGGGGGGTTCTCAGGAGGCAGTAAATATTATTAAAAGGATGCCGCACAAGTCACAGTGTAATGTCTACAACATATCCAAGATGGAGAACAAAGCAACATAGTCACTGTGATGACAGTTTATTTTTGCCTTTAAATCAACCCTGCATGTAACTGAACATATTCACAGTATAAATCAAAAAGTGAAAAACAAACTGCTGAGCACAAAAAATAATAAAGCCGCTTCATCAGTTGCATGAAGATTTAACTATGGCTGAGTAAAAAAATGGATTCATCAATGCATTGCAATCTATTTTTTCCCTACTTAATATCGATACAGAACATCCTGATATTGATAATTGCCATTGTTATGAAGCCCACCTCCTGTGGGGGCACTGTGGGTGCTGCCACACTGTGATTTGTGTTGTACTGAGACCCCACTTGACTAAACAACGTCTGTAAAAATTCATTTTGGAGTCAGTTTGTTCTAAATCAAGACAAAAATAATGCACACATTATGATGTAACAAATACCAGAAGGTACTGTGATGAATCATCTGGGTATTTCTGTCATCCATGTGTATTACTGAATGAATATCAAAGCATATTGATCAATTTCAAATCAAATCGTGACCCAAAAAACTAAATCACACATCAGCTGATTCTGATTTCTTGCAGAAATGTAACCAGGGGAAGGTAAAAAAAAGTCTGGAAAGAAGTCGGGGTAAAAAAAGTGTCAGCTTGCATTTACACATGCAGCTAACCCATTGAATTTCAGGAAATAATCATACGTGTGTGGATGTAAAGGCTATTTGATGATCAACAATCGCCTTTAAATCATTCACCTTTTGTGTGAGGTTGACATAATAATTGTCTAATGGTCAGTTTCTCTGTTTGTCTTTTTGTCACAAATAAATGCTTCATGAAAAATGATTTTTCCCATTGACTTCTTGGTGATCTGTCACTTTTTTATAGTTGATGCATCAAATAAATGATGTGTCATTGTCAAGAGATTATAATACAATTACATTGTCCTACAGTGTCCTCTGAAATACAGGACAACCTGTTGGTAGGATACTGTACATTAGGGCAGGGAATCTTTCAATTTCATTCTGGATTCATGATTCAAAGTCTATTTTAGAAATAGTACTTCAGGATCTACTCCAGTCATCTGTGAGACTGGCTGAATTTCTTGTTGCTCCATTTGGCATTCTACTGAGTTAAAGAGCTAGCCTTAGCACTTAGCAGGGAGTGACTCATTAGCCAAAAAAATAAAAATAAATACATTTTAATTTTTTTGGAAGTTATGAATCTATTTAAAATCTCAGAAGATAAGATTGATTTTTTTTCCCACCTATAGGACACATTCATGGTTTCGGTCTTTGAATTTTGTTAACAGCAAGAGAAATGTAGAATCACAAGACCTATCTTCCACTTGTTGTTTCTCTATCTTAAATGTTCCTGTTTCTTCTCACCCTACATAAATACAGCTAAAACTACACTCACCACACTTTGGTTTGAACATCAGCTGACAGAAAATCAATGAGTCAATGTCTTTTATGCCACAACCAATCAATTAATGTAGATTTCCACGCCCTTGACGCTTAATTGCATGCGGAAAACCAGCACAGCCAAAAAAAAGCACAGCTCCCAACCGAAGAAAAGACCATTATTGTGCAAATAAACCTGATTCAGAATCATATAATGAGTGTTATTATTGGTTCTTCGTGCTAAAAAAAGGATGATGTGGCGCTATAATCTCTGACAGCAGAGCGCCTCTTTTATTTCTTCACCATTAGCCACAGGAGAATGGCAAGTGTCACCTTGTGCAATATTTAAACTGTGTAAGACTTTCAAATGCAGCAAGGTGACTCAGCTCACTAACATCCATTTATCGGACCTAACAGAGCGACATGTGGATGGGAATGCTGATGAGGACTGTGAGAAGGTGTTAACCCCAGCAGTGTCAAGGAGACTGTGGTGACCTCGGACCGCTCATCCCCCTGATAGGAGGGAAAAAACGCAACTGCTTGGTTTTTAACTAGCTCTGAAACATCACTGCATCAGACACTGAGAGGAAAATCACAGAGAGAACACAGCCATGGCTCCTCTTCAGAGCTGCACAGTGAAAAGTGTATGACGCACACAGCCCAAGTTGAATAATATGTGTCAGTTTGTGTGTGTGTGATACCTCTTGCATAACAACACAGAGAGAAAAGATGTAAGGCTGAAATGCCAGCACATGTAGCCTAAATTTCCATCATTCTCTGAAGGATGTACTACGGACATCACAAGGAGGTGGAAGGGTCACAGCGGCAGACGATATTCCTGTGACCTGAGAATGGCCTTCTGAGTTGGGGAAACGGGCTGAGCTGGCTGACAGGATTGTAGCCATCAAATCTACATGATCAGTTCAGCCAGACTCTGGACAAGTATGATTCACCTCCACGTCCCTGCCTGGGATTTCAACAGCTATCTGCAGTCTGTCTGACACCGGCTGATACGTTCTGAGTTGCTAGTCGGATATCGGGACACATCATCAAGCTGTAGTGTGATGTGACCTAAATGTATTAGCAGCTGTTACCCTACCGTAGCCTTCCTACACACATACATAGCGTGAAAACACTCGAAAGATTCAAAACACAGTCACGTAAATGGACGACATCGATTCAAAATCGAGCGCAGGTAAATCTAAGCACACAAACTCTTGGATACAGCCGGAGCGATGCAGCATGCACATGTGCGAGAGAGAGCATATGGAGAGGTGAATGAACGACCTACCTCACGTAGCTCGGGTAGCAGAAAGCACCATTACATTCACAGTAGTCTCTGAGAGAGGGCTACAGAGGCATAGAGGGAGAGGGAGGGAGAGAGAGAGACATAGAGATGACATCACTACAATTTTTCTTCCTCCTCCTCTGAAATGTAGGCTAGAGCTGCAGGGCTGCCGGTGTCGGAGCAGCAGTGAGAGCTCCCTCTGTGTGTGTGTGTTTGCATCAACTGAGAGGAAAGCTTCACTGCTGGAGGTGACCTCAGTGTATGAGTCCACATCCCCAACTGTGCCCACACACACACACACACACACACACACACACACACACACACACACACACACACACACACACACACACACACACACACACACACACACACACACACACACACACACACACACACACACACACACACACACACACACAGTTGGGCTCGTTACTGGGAAGAAAAGGACTATATTACTCATTACTTATTACTCTTTTTAAAAGTAATATAATGACTTTACTTATTACTCCCTGCCAACAGTAATATGTTACACTACTCGTTATATTACTTTTCGTTTCATTAGTTCTTTGGCTTGTAGCCAAAATCCAGTCTGGTTGTTTTGTAGGCATTGTAGGGCTACAGCTAATCTCCACGGCCGCAGAGGTTGGTGGGGTTTATTTACACGAGCTTCACGTTGTTGTGCTGTTGTTGTAAGTGCTTAATGAGGTTTGAGGTCGTGTTCTTTGCAGTAGAAAGAGACCTATAGTACCGGGACACAATCTACATCTGACAACAATGTTCTTGTCATCTTTCCTCTCGAGAAAACTAAAGTAATGGAAATATCTCAAGCCGCTAAATATAAACATGAGCGCTTCCATCTTCCAAGCTAGCCAGGGTTGCCAGGTATGTGTGACAACAACTGACAAAATAAGCCCAAAGGCCAAAAAAAAAAACTGCCCGCAGCAGCACCTAAAATGAAGCCCGATTCAGCAGGAAAACTGCAAACCTGGCCACCATGATGCTCACTACCTTCCTGCTTGGCTGACGTGCGCGATGAAATGAATCTGGGGATTGTTGCATTTTAAATCAGAAGTGGGTAATAACAACAACAGTAAGGTAGTAACAAGTTATTTTTGCGTGAGTAACTGTAATATTATTACTGGAATTTCATTAGTAATTCGTTACACTACTCGTTACTAGTAAAAGTATTATTATTACTGTAACGCGTTACTGCCCAACACTGGACACAACCAACTAGAGCATTAAATAGACTTGTACAAAAACTACAATCAGATTACTGAATGCTCCTAGGGTTAGTCATTTTATCTTTTTAGCGCCACAGATCTTTTATTCTTTTATTAGACTGATTGTTCAAGTGTTTTTATTTTGTATTCAGTCTGGCACACCTCTAACTCAGTCAATATTAGTGTGTCTCCTTTAGGTCCTATCCCTGTTTCAACTCCTTGTGTAATCTGTTGTTTGTGTGTCAACTTGTCCTTGTTTGTGTTTTGTTTTTCTCATGTGTACGGACTGTTCCACACCAATTGCCCCAAGATGGATTAATAAAGTTGTTTGAAATGAATTGAATTGATATGTATGCCAGTTTATGCATCAGTCAAATAATATTTATTACCTGCGAGGGAAATGAATCTCGAGTAGCTCACACAGGTGAGTGTTGTGATGTTTGCTGCTAACATTTTTTTTCTATCTCACTGTTATCAGATCAGTTGTTTGGGTTGTCTGATGCGCAAATTCAGATAACTAAATCTCTACAGTCACACCCCAGATAACTGAGGGTTTGATAAAATTCCTCAAAGAACAATCTCCTTAAATCATGATGGTGCTCCTATGAAAACAAGAGGATCTAAAGAAAACCCTTTAAAAGTGGAAGACTGAGAAAGTTCTCAGACTAGCATGTATTACCATGAAGCAGATTCTTATCACCAAAGCTTGAACAGTGTTTTATATTGAAGGCTTCACTTGGAGTTCAGGTTTGTATTCCGCTTGTGGCTAACCAAAGATCCCTCTCCGTGGTTTCTTAGATCTAACAAAATATTGCTCGCTAATGAGCTTTAGAGAGGGAGACTTTAGGAGCTCGTCTGACCTTGCTGGACGGGAAAGAAGTCTGGCCATGTGAGGGGATTATACAATTGCAATGAAAAGTCATTTTCAAGGGGATTAGTGAGAAAGAAGACGGGAGACAAAGAACAAAAACTTGATGATATGGAGTCAGTTTGCAGTTAAGTGGGACACACTCGGAGTTTAAAGCCAGATGGAGGGCAGAGCACAACAAAAGGCTTAATTCACCAACAATACCTTAGTGAACAACATTTTTGTGAAGGCATTCTTCTCAACAAGTAAGAGCAATTATCACCCCAAATCCCTCGCCCAGAGGCTCAATAAAGCCTGCCCAACCTGAACAGAAAGTGGAGAGATGGGCCGGCAAAGATAGCTTATCTAACAATGATAAGGCTAAATGTATTGTGACAAGACAATAAAATGTTGATAAGGATGCCACAAATGGGAAATAACAGAGATAAAAGTAAAACATATCTCTAACAACACATCTCCAAAGAGATGTATTGTTTTTTAATCATCTTTCATGAATAAGGTCTTAGAGACAATTGGTTTAATTAACCTCTGTGTTGACATTTCTTTTGATTTGCTTTCCTAGCTTTTCCTGGAAAAAAGCAATATTATGAGACCACAGCACTGACCCTTCCAATATAAGTGGCTGGAACACAGGAATAGAAGAGACATTTACTTAACATGAGCTAAATGTCATCTATTTACAGCTTCCTCCATTATGATTGCCCCAAATGATCCGTTTTCTGAGGACATGACTTGGAGAGACTGTATGGAGAGATATGTGACACAGATGGTAAAAGTAAGTTGCTTCATAGCCACTGACCCCTCAGGCCACAGCTGAGCCTGGAGGGATTATTACAGTAGTGGTGATTTTTTTGAGACTTCTGCTGCCAACAGTACCTTTACATTTCAAACAAAGTAAGAGCCAGTGCTGTTTTGTTGATCATAAAAGTGGATGCTAGAGGTTTGGTATGATCTAGCAGCAAATTTCACGGCCAAAACTACAGTTCCTCAAAAGGCCACTTGAGGCTGGCTCCAAAGGCAAGTGAATCCACTTTAAGCCTAAACAGCAACCTCTGTCTTTATAAGATGAAGCCAATAAGAAAAACCATGGTACTTGAGGCTGGTGACCAATGAATCCCCATTACTCCTCCATGTTTCCACAGGATCCATGCTATGATGTGCGCCCTATCCCAAAGGGTCTGTTTCTGATACAAAAGCGCAGCAAATCACCGCCATGAGCGGCTTTTCTCAAGGGTTCACAAGATCCCAGGAGAACTAAAAGATCACATGGGAATAAAGAGAATAAAGAACAATATGGTAGGCACTGTGGTCAACCATCTAATCAGCCAGCTGATTCATTATTATTGGAAATATACTGTAAATCTGGGGAAAATTAACATTGGAAAACACTTTAATCCCACCAGCCAACTACTTCACTGTCAAGCACACCACCCCTTCTTCCAAATATGGTCACTTCAGACAATAAAAAAGTAAGATTACCACAAAATTGCCAGACTCAAGAAAAAACAGCAGTCTACAGGCCAAGAGGGTATAACATGGCTGCTACATGTTCACTTGTTCTATATCGTGTAATGTTAAGTCATTAAATTCTATTCTCACTGAACAAGATTTTCTGTTTGCATAAACTCTTCAAAAGAGCTGCAGTTGAGAACAGGACTCTGTAGTCTCAGGGTCTGAATTGGGACCCTGGAAAGAAGACAAAGGTGTTCAACCCTTGTTAACACCTTCAGCTTAACAATAATGCCTGGGATGAGTAGAGGATGTAACCTGAGTCCATGAACAGATCACGTTCAGAGTTGTCTGTAAAGCTGGATTGCAAACAGTTAAATTTTCCGTCTTTATGAGCCTCAATGATGACATAAATTCTGTACGATCCCAGAGAGACAAAAGTGAAAGATGTTAATATGACATTTCCCTTCCTCTGAGATCATTTTTTGGTCTTTGTTTACTACATGAACCTTTGTGTCGACCATAACTACACCAAAAAAAACTTGAAATGTTTCGCCTAAGGTGCATTAGTAGAGTAATAGATCAAAAGAAAAGGCATACTAAAGTTCCCTTTCTTTTCATTGTTGTTTAAAGAACAAGGTCTCACAGAAACATGGGTCACTCGTAGTATCTTCACCACCTGCCGATGTTTGATCCAGCATGTCTCTTGTGTTTCACAGCTGTAATGCCCTTAGGACAATCTTAGGTGTGGTCAAAGACAACACCTACAGGCTCGGCTCAGCTCTCCTGAGTCAGCTTTAGAGCTCAGACACAATTGTTTTTTTAGGGTATGGACAGGAAGTGGTTTCATCTGCAGGTCAGGTGCCTGTAATGACTGATATGCAGCAAAGCAAGTTTCCTGTGTGAGGGCAAGGCCCAGGTCTGATTCACAGAAACATTAGTAGGTAGAAGAGAAGCAGGGCTCAAGCAAGGCAGAGAAGAAGATATTTTCAATTTCTCAAGGTTTTTCACATTGAATAAATTCAACAAAGACAATGAAACATACTTAACATTTAACATATAGTTGATTCATCTCCACGGTTTAAAGAATGATGAGAATGCTTCTCTTAATTCAAAGGAAAGTACAAACCAAACCCTGCTTGCACATCCAAAGCACAATTATGTAATTTAGTAGAGCAGGTTTATAATTTACGAAAGAGTGGTGCTTCAATTTGACTCGAAAGTTTTACTGGATAAAATGATAATAAAATATATATTCAGGATATTTTTTCTCGACCAATAACTTCATTTATCACAATACCCTTTGATAATGCTGACCATTTGAGAAGTATCCTGAAAATTACTGGGCTGAAGAAACCAGATGTTTCCTTTGTTGTTGTCAAAATGAAATAAAAGATTATTAAGACCTCTAAAAACACAGAATAAAGAATTTTTAAAAAAGTCATAACTTCCCCGTCTCTTAAGCTCTACTGTCTTTACTCCACACTGAGTACACACTGTGAGGGAGCTGCAAGTCAAG